AGAGAGAGAGAGAGAGAGAGAGAGAGAGAGAGAGAGAGAGAGAGAGAGAGAGATCATGTTCTGACATGTTGCTTTACTTGCATTTTTTTTTTTTGCAAACTGCCATTTTATTGCCAGTAAAATCACTCAAGAGGTCATGCCAACGTTGCCATTCAAGAGACATTTTCAGGGAACATTTCTTGTCTATATATTTGAATCTAGATTAATTTTCTTGCAAAGCCATTTTTTGCCTTGCTGTATTTATCCCAATTTGTCTGCTAAAGTGTTTCTGCTGTCTGCGTCTATTAGCCACAAAATGTCCCTCATCAGAGAGAGTACAGGTGTTTGCAGCTAACTAGAGACAAGCACTGACAGGGTGTGACTGATTTTAACTCCAGTGGTTTCCCCTAATTTTTGTTTTAGTTTTCACTGTTTTGGCCCAATACATGCACGAAATGGAATCGCACAACTCGGTAAGTGATCACGTTTTAACCTGAGAAAAGGAACCACAAATTAAAAAGATTCCTTGCTACATCTGATCTGAAAGAAAACTTGGCATACATGCAAATATTTTCTAGGTTAACCAAAGGTGTTAATCTGTTTCTGGAGTACACCCAGCTCCCAGGTTAATGTGTCCATTCGTCCTCTCGTGTAAGCTTTAAAAATATGCAATCGGCCTTTTGTCATACAGAGTTTTCATAGCAGCAACACACACGTTGTTTATAACATTAACGAGGGCTCTGTTTTACTCAAGTTTCCTATAGTAAGCCGTGAGCGTGAGGCAGCATGAACTAAACCCTGAAACTGAAGCAGCTAAATGGAATTGAGCCCTTATTACTTTAATTATTCACACCTGTGCTGTTTCTACTCTGACGTGTCAAATTGTCTCCTAACGACGTCAACTCGATGAGCCATAACAAATGCAAACACCCAATTATAAGCTTAGATAACGTAACATGTCGTCATATGTTGCTATATAACAACATATAGTCATTTTAAATATTTGCAGAAAACATTTCTGTCCTAAAATCCCACTGACCCCGCCCCCTCTTGGTTTTAAGGTGTTAAGCAGATGTCGTTCTGCTGTCACATTTGCGTCCACAGACTGAAGTGGCTTCTTCGTTTCCCTTTCTTGCCTCCGATGTTCCCTCCAGAGGCCCTTCAGAGCCTGTTTATTATGCCTCTTTCCGTTTGTTTAGAATGAGCCTTGTTCGAGTAAACATCATCAGTGGAAGAGCCGTCCCGCTTCAGGAAAAGGAATTCCGTCTGCGTTCTCTGTCATTATTCTGCGGGACAACTACTTCACCGTTACCCCTCTATATTTGTCCTCGGTAATTGATATAGGCGTTGTTTGTTTTCACTGTCTTCCTACCCGCCGCTTCCTTGGGACTCTCATCCCTGATTAGATGCTGGAGAGTCACAGGGGGGGGGGGGGGGACATTTAGGAGGGCAGATAAGAGGACATAAAGACTCCTCATTTTCCCAGCAGGACTGTGGGAGCCATTGTTGGGATGCGGCCTTCATGACTGATAATCTGAAATGCATTAGAACGTAAATGTGGCGTTATTAAAACTTGTCACAAATGTCTTGATTTTGTATTGTCATTCCCGATGCCTGCCAGTTCCCTTCCATTAAACACAATACCTTAAATAATTTGTTGACATGTTGTTGATAAATACCCAGGGACACTTCTCCCTGTTGCTCTCTGTCTCTACCTACAGCTCTTCTACTGTTGTGTGTGTGTGTGTTTTGATGAGCCGTCTGTCCACATTGTCACACGTGGATGAAATGTTCCTGCTGAATGATGCATTACAACCTTTCCAGGTCTCACAGGGTCAAGCCGGCCTCAACATCTCCTGGTTCCACTATGCAAACAGGCCTCTCCTCCTGCACAGTAGGCAGTTTGTGTGTGTTTGTGGGTTTGTGTGATTACACATGCGTGGCTTCCTCCCCCCCCTCCCCCCCAGCAGTACCTCCTGCCCTCCATTTTGATCACTCCCTTTTTAGCGTCACAGAGCTAACTGAGTTTGTGCATGTGTCACCCACTGCCGTCTGCGACTTGTTACCTTGTTATACAACCTGACAGATGAGTGTTCTTGTGACTCACTTATAGCCTTAAACATGCCCGAAAATGTGAGCGTGGTTGCACACACACACACACGTACGTAACTAGATCCCATTGAGTCACTAAGCTTTTATCTTCAACCCTGTTGTGTATTTGTGTAGCAATTTACTGCCCCCTAAGTGCAAGGGCAGTTTATAAAGACGCATTGGAGATGACAGGAGCGCTGTTACGACAAGTGTGGCTTCAACACATCGTCTTCAGGCAAGGAGGGGTTTGTCAGACAGAGTGGATGCTCTCTGTGAAAGGAAGTGTGTTCCACCACAAACCAGACACACCCAGCGCCAAAGAAAAAAATGTACATTATAAAAGGGACAGCCCCCCCCCCCCAAGAGATGCACTGCTGATAAAATGTATGGCAGTCAGTTAGTTAAGTTTATAGTTTGAATCTGAATCCATTTAAATCCCTTCATTCATCCGATGCAACTAAATTAATAGATTTTTAGCCATATAGTCTTGTTTCAGCCTCTTCATTTAACATGTAATGGTTTGCACTTTGGGACGAACAAATTAAAAAGACAGAGTAGAGAGTCGCCGTTTTTTTATTGCTGATCTTCTAACGATAAAAGAGCAGCTTCATTTGCGTTGTTTGATCAGATTGTCCGCAGCTCGCCTGGCCTCGGCTGCTCACGTAGAAAACCACCAGATCTGAACGTTGCCAATGGCTTCCTTTTCAGGAAAATGAGCGCTCGCAGGTGTGTGAGCGTGAGCGTGCACAAACCTGCATGTGTTTGAATGGATGAAGTGCTCGGGTTTGTTGTGTGTCAGAGCTTGAAATGCCAACTTCTCCAAGGACAGTCATGTTCCCCTTCCTACTCTTCGAAATTATTTCGGGGGTTTCTTTAAAGTGGCCCCTATAATAATAATAATAATAATAATAATAATAATAATAATAATATTATTATTATTATTATTTTTATTATTATTATTATTATTATTATTATTATTTTTTTAAACAAAACTTCATGTAAAATACGCCAACCACAATCCTTTTGTAAACGTTTTTTACATCCCATAATCACATCAGGACAAAAGGCTAATTCAGTTTGTTTACCACGTTGTCAAGGAAACGGTAAACATACTGCCTAAATGGGTTACCCAGAGGCACGGGAGAGTGGTGCAAGAGTTTTGAGGTCAGCCTGAGGCATGCTGGGAACTGCAGTCCATACGAGCTGTTGGCTATGAGGGCCTCTTCCTCTCTCCCTGGATTTACGCCATGTGTTTCTGCCGCCTCAAGGATCGCACTGAACCGGCCGGGTCTGTTGTTTGTGCACAGAAGCCTCCAGTGTATATGAAAACAGTGACTTATGCCCGGCACGCACAAACCGTTCACAGCGGTTTAGCAATCGATGCGTGAGCATGCAATGATGAATGGCTTTAGGAAGGGTGCTTGGCGTGCAGCATGCATGCCTGCATGTTTCCGCTTACTTGTGTATATTTATGTTTGTTGTATTTGTTTCAGGCAGAGCATTTTTCCCCCCCGAGCAGGAGGCTGGGTGGTTATGGGTCTGTGACTGTCGGGAACATTCCGAGGATGCATTCAGAAAACAGACTCGCCTTCACGCTCTGCTGAAAGGGGGGGGGGGGGGGGGCTCCCCGCCCGTGACATCATTCACACTCGCCCACCGTCTCTTTGACCCGGTTGCTGTGTCTGTTGCAGTCAGTCTCTTCCTGTTATCCCCCCATAGGGCTGTGCCCGTGTGTCTGTGTTTTGTAAGCATGGAAAGCTTTTTCCACACACACACCTGCTATGGCTCACCTCCAAAACTCTGCAACACACACATATACACACAGTCCCTGCCTGCACTTCCTCTCTCTCTCAGACTACCTTGGCTCCCACTGACAGAGCTTTGTGTGTGATCCTGACATGCTTTTTGTCTCCAGGGGCTTCTAACTCAACCTCAGGACCACCTTGAATAACGAATGCCCCCACTGTGGGGCTGCAGACTGCACACTGCTTGAGTTATGCTGTTCTTCTCTCATTAGAGTCTTGAGCGTCACAGTGGGAGCCTGAGTAAAACGCTGGCATCGGCCTGTGTGCGTGTTTACTGTGCTGACGGTCTTCCTTGTTTTGTGTGTTTTTGTTTTTCAGACACTATCCCAAGTCACACTTCACCTGTGTGGCTGACACTCCAGAGAACCGCCGCCTCAAGGAGCAGAGCAAGATGCAGAGCCAGGTAATGCTCTCTCTCACTGTTAGTAGCTGTTAAAAGGATTCATGGCCTAGCCAAACTCCAGCCTTGAAACACACACAGTCTGTTCACATTTGAAAAGCCTGACTTGAGTTAACCCTAGAAATTGATCTGGGTGTAAGTACTTAAATAAAGCTAACTTTCAGATAAAATAATCAGTCTTATTCAAGTTTGTACGTTAGAGATAACTGTGTGCTCATAGCTTGAAAACTGACCTGAGATGTCAAGCATGAAATTAATTCCCAATAGTCAAGGAAGAGACTTGGAAGAGAGGGCTGTGAGGTCCATGATCGCCCAATAGTCTGATACAGAGGATGTTCTAGAGACAAAGAAAGGGAAAAGCTATGTTCAAGAAAAACACTTGGCTGGACTGCTACGTTTTTAATGGTGCACAGCCTCGGAGATCAGCAATCTTGCCACAAGAATGTTGGTTCAGTTACTCCGGCTTTGGATCCCAATCCACTGTGCAAGAACATGCAGTTTCCACTAAAATACTGATTCAGTCTTTTTATTGTCACATCTGACAGAAATACACTAGAATACCAGCACCTGTTAAATTCTATTAAGTTATGCAGTTTGGAAATATCAAATAGGATATTGCTTCAATCTGTTTTGCAACACTTTCCATTTCCCCTTATCGCCAGTTGAAAACAAATAATGCTTGTTACGTGAGAAAGCATTGCAGCATAAGTGTCCATTACTCTAGTTATAAATTACCTTTTTTAGTTTAAACAAAACTGGCAGAAGTCTGGCCTTCCAGTCGAGTATTGTAATTCTGCCTGAGCTTGAAGTCTGAAATTTAGCCTAAAAGAACCAAGTTAGTCTGAAGAAATAGTACGTTTTTATGTCCTAATAGACATACAGACATACCATAGTCCTGGTTTAACCACTACTCTTACAGCCTTCTTGTTTCACACTGCTGTTAATGTGTCTGACTGTCATTTGTATGCTTTTTATGATGGTTGCAAACTGGAATACAGACTAATGAATAGTGTGCTGTTTACAACATACCGTGTCTGCTGGGGCCCAGTATGGATGCACTGATCATAGAGCCTCTCAAATTATGTCTGCACCTATTTTTCTTCAAATATCCTCCAATCTTAGCTCTGTCACCACAGAAAACACTACTACGGCTCTTTCTCCAGCGGCAAAAAAAAAAATTCAAAGACCAAAATATATTCTAAGATATTTAACCTCATCAGACTAAAATATCCATGTGAACTGGGTCATGTGTTGTTGCCTTAATGAGGACGGCCCGGATAGAGAATCAGAGAGATCTGTACGTACCAACAGACTTTAAACGATGTCGTTGTATGTTCGCTGTCTGTAGTTGAAGCCGGCACAACAAGTCACAGATAAACTGACTATAACATGATGTTATATACAAACGTTTTAGCACAAGCCCCTTCACATTGAGTAGTTCTGAGCCTCATTAATCACAAAAGACTCTGCAAGATTCTGGAGTGACTTATGTATTCATCTGGAGGGAGAAGGTGAAGGAGAGGCTTGTTTTCTTGTTGTGTAGTAGAGGAGAGTGGAAGCACATCCCTCGTCTTATCCGGGTGTTGGTGTCAAACACTCCAGATGAGACCGGGTTGTGAGTATGTGAGAAGGGTTTTTGGGGTGTGGTCATGTGGGGAGGGGGGATAACTAAGGGATTGAGGGACAGATGGTGTTTGTCTACATGGATTGTACATCTCAACACCCCCCACACACACACACACACACACGAGAGACATCGAGCTAACGGTTTATCACAGCCACTAAGAATGAGATTATTCCACAAATGTTTGTGTGTGATGGTGAAGGATTTGTGTCGTCGTGAATAAAGAGGAGCTTTCTTTCTCTCTTCTCTACAGCAAGTCGTGTGACCACAGTGGACACAGGAAGCTATGATTTCACACAGAAAAAAAAACCCCCAAAGCTTTTAACAGAAGTGCGCTAACAAGATTTATGATCAAGAGGAAGACGCAGCTTAAAGTCAACAGTCATAAAGTAGCCGATTGAGATGCAAATCAGCCAGACTGCCTTAAAGAAAAGGTCATTGTTAAAGAACTTCCTGTTAAACTACAGAATATGAATATATATATATAAAGTGGTATTTCAAAATTGAATCAAATGTTTCCCACTTCACTCATTAAATTCCACTAGATAGTTAAAAATGCCGCTACTCACTCACACACACACACACACACACACACACACACGCATGTAGATATTCTCCGATGCCTCTTGCACTGTGATGCTCGTGTGCTACAGTGTTACTGGTCTGAAATCTTAGTGAAGTTGAAGGTGTTTGTGGAGGGCCGTGGCCATCCAACACCGCCGCTTGAGTTGCTACGGGAACCCTATTGCTATGGTAGCAGGGTAGAGGTTTGTCACACCTCGTTACAAGACTTTGGGGGGGGGGGAGAAATGAGACGGAGGGAGAGCGAGAGATAAAGAATCTGAGAGAACAAAATTGGGGACGAGGAGAGGGAGAGCAATGAGGCGCACATGAGCGAGGGGAAAGACAGGAAGGCACCAAGAGAGGGAGGAGAGGGTGAAGGAGGAAGAGATAAAAGTAAATCCCCAGGGGAAGGAAAGCTAGAGGAATGCAAATGGCAGCAGAGAGAACGATTATAATGAGGAAGGGCTCCGGCTCTATTGGATGACTGTCTGCTGCTGTTGAGGCAGTAAAATATGAATGAATGAAAAAGCAGCACAGAGAGCAGGCGGTGTGGGTGGGGAAAGAAAGCTGAGGCGTGATTGGAGGAGTGGAAAGCTGTTGCATAGACCTAAAAAAAAAAGACAAAGGAGATGGACTGAGAAATGGAAACATAGGGGGAGGATCATACGTTGACTGATGGGAGCCGAGCGAGAACGAAGGACAATGATGGGTCGAGGCCACATTAATCTTCTTCGTGACTTATCTTTGTGCGCGGGCTTGAGAGCTGTGCATAATTTCCCGTGGAATGACGATCGGCCATAGTTTTCACCCAATGTTCTCAGCGGGCGTCATGCCACATATGAACCACACACACACATTATCTGTGAATCATAGCCATGTCATCACAAGGTGTTGGGAGGTGAGAGGACTGGTCAGCACTCTGTTCAGCGGTGTCAGACATATTGTGGTGGTGGTGGTGGTGGTGGTGGAGCTTAGTTTCCTGGTAAAGCACTGTGTTGGCAAGAGGAGTGCAGGCAATGTGTCCAGTCACCATGGAGTCAGGGTTGGGTTGGTGTCGGGAGGTGGAATCAAGTGATTTGTCATTGTTGAAATGTCTTGGCACATGCCGGGGAGATCAGACGGAGAAGAGCCGGAGTGTGTGTGTGGCTGTATAAATAGAACGTGTACCTGGGTTTCTGTGTCAGGTGTGTAGCTGGACTTGTGTAAGTGTGGCTGGTGTGTGATCAGCCACAGAGCAGCAGTGAAGGAGAGCTCCACGCGTTGTAACTTCTGATACTCATCTGACGCTGCTTGGGCTGGACGCTTCCTCCTCTGCCCTTAGGGTCAGGGTTAGGGTGGGGAGATTGGAAAAACACACACACACTGTTTGTCACATACTACCTCTCATTATGACCATATATGGTTACTACCACGTCCTGTATGTACGGCCTCCTCTGCTCCACAGACGGGAAATGAACGTCACCACAGAAGACGATGCAATATGTGCGGGCCAACCTAACTTTGCTCGCACTCATAACGCGCAAACGCACACACACACACCGCTAATGCTTACTTCAGTCATAGTTTAAAGAAAACTTTGATTATTTAAGCCGCCGAATTCCAAGCCTTCTTGTGAAAATGTGGATTATAAGGTTACTATTAAGTGTTTTTTTTTTTTTTTATCATCGAACTTCTGCTTTACAGAGACAAATTTACTCAATATAATGATGTATATTTTAGTAGCACATGCATAACTTTATTAAAATATGGGCTAAAAATGTTGTTGTTAGGGAAGTTATCCACCATAGATAATATTGGTGAAGAGCTTTACTTGATTTTTTTTAAATAATGATAACAAATTAAAGTGGACAAATATCAAAGAAAATATCAAGACGCATCATCAAGCGTTTTTTCTTTTCTGTATATGTTGAAAGAATCTAGGTCGGAACATCTATAAATAATCATTTGCGCGGCATTTGTTGGGTTTTCCTTGTCGACTCTCAGAAACGAACTGAAACTGTGCATTTTCATTTTAAATATGTGGCCCGTGTTGTTTGCTGCGCACGTTTTCAAGTCCGCATTTTGTTCCTAACATGAAACTGTGTTTGTCCTGCAGGTTCTCTACCGGGAGGACTTTGAGAAGAATAAAGGGAAAGGTTTCAGCGCGGTCGCAGACACGCCAGAGATGCAGAGAATTAAGAAGTCGCAGGAACAAATCAGCAATGTGAGTGTCTGCAACACCGTCACCAATCAACTGACCTCTCCACCTGTTTTATGTCGCACTCCAAATAGTAACAGAGGAGCTCCTACATTTTATTTCAGTGTTTTGACAAAGACTAATCATTTAGAGCTCTTCTAGTGCTTTCCCCGCCTTAGAACCGTAGTTTCTATATATCACTGTTCTCTCTTTGCCATTATTGAATGACACTAGAATGAGTCCTTTCTTTCCTTGAATCGCTGATATCACAGCTTCACGCTAACTTTACTCGGGTCATGCATATCTGGTGCGTAGTTTCAGAGATTGCATAACACTTCTTATGTTCGCTCTGTTATCAAGAGTCACTCGTGGAAACCACCAGGGTTTTCATCTTGGTCCACAGAGAGCTTCACTTCATGAAATTCTCCTCAAATCACTCTCCGCATGGGTGATTCTTCTCCCCTCTGCCCTCCCTCTCTCCCTCAGCTCCAGTTATTGATTTGCCATTTCTCTGTAAATACAGACCAGTGCTGAAGAAAGGCACGCAGTGTTTACCTTGTTACCTCAGACTGCACAAGCCAGCTGTAAAGACATTTTTTTTTTTTCCCCAAGTCAAATGCACTCGGATGCAAAGCAGACTTCATTACACGCAACCAGCGCTGCACTGTTCTTGCTAATTGCATAATTGGCGTGGAGGTGATGGGTAATCACTGCTTTCATGTGGTTAAAGATCTTGAATGTGTAAGATCAAGACAAGGGGAGATGCAGATGTGTTACATGGGTTCATGGGATAAGAAGGGCATTTTGGCGGGAGGGATTCGGGCGCATCCAGAAAAGTGTTTTTAGTCAAAAGTGATAAACAAAACATCTGCTTTCAATTAGTGCGTCACTCAGAGCCAATCATAGGGAACCGCTCGAGACGAAAGCTACGTCTTTCTCTCTTTTGGTTCTCTTCCGTGGACTCTAAGGAGCAAACCAGTCGACTCTTTCAAGCCTTGAACTCGTATTTCTGTTGCCTCTTTTTGCTTTGTCATGACTCTTCTCCATTTCCCGTCACCTTCCTCTTGTCAAGCAGCAAAAGATTGAGAAGTACGGTGGTTTAGTTCAGCAGCAGCCGAGACACTTCCTGTAAATACACATACACGCACACCATCTGTTCGACCTGCTCCTTCAAAACAAACCAAAATAATCTCCCTCACACACACTCTTACTTAGCATATTGCACTTGAGAACAGTCACAGTGTTCTCTCAGTCGCCCGCTTCACTGTCCTCTGCACAAACACGCCGTCATCCCATCCCGTCTGTGAACACACTTCTTGCTAACGCCGGCTGCACAGTGGGCTCTTTGAGCGAGGACAGAATCGGGGGCTTGTAAATCTCGACTGAGACACTGTGAGTCAGTCTGTTATCCGCCTGGTAATAAGGGGGACGGCTTATATGCTGCAGTCATAGAGCACTCACTCGGTTTCAGTTTCATCGTAGTGACTCTGCTTCATGGTGTAGCGCTGAATGTGGCCTTTGTCACGCTGGCCGGAGAGGTTGTTTATCATCAACTAACCCTAACCAGAGTCTTTACCCAAGAATGGACTCTTGTATGTTTATTATTCCCAAAACCAGTAGGTCTCATGTTCAGAGGCTGTGGCGATTATTAAAGGAGTCGATGTGAAGCGCTACTACGAGACAAAGCACAAATCTTTTGAGCAAACGTACCCACTCAAATCCGAAATGAAGGCACCAAAAATAAACTAAAGAGCCCAATATGATCAGAATCCTAACACAGTAATTCACTGCACAACAATGATGTAAACAGAGAGGACTAGAGCTGAAACAAGTGGTTTAATAACTACAGATTAAGTCCCTTCACACAAATTTCTCTTTTTAGAAGATGAGAATATAATATCGTGGCTTTTTTGACTAACATCACTTCACACCTGAATTAAATGAACTTAAAGCTGCAGGACAGTTCAGTTCAATTAATTTTTCTAACATTAAGTACTTTATTTTAAGAGTCACATTTTACAAAAACTTACTGATATGTATTTTATTTGATTAAATCCAGCCCTTATTTTACCTGAATTAGAGAACATTTATTTATTATTAGTTTATGTATTATTTATAATTCATCCAGTTCAATTTGAAATCTGTCAATAAATATTGTTTAGATATTATTCAATTGAATAATATCTTTATTTACTTAATTTTTCAGTCAGTAGTTGACGTCATACAGACGTTAATACAACTGTTGGCTACTTCATTATACATGGCACTAAATCATAGCGCAGGTTAAGACACTACTGTGATGTTCCGGACCTTTCCGTGAGCAAATTCTCTCTAACTGGACCTCGCTGAATATTAATTGAATACCCCTGTTCGAGTCGGTTCACTTTTTCTCACCTCACTTGCTCTTCCTGACGTGTCAGTGATGGTTGTTATGCAACTGTGAGCTCGCACTACTTCCGGTCAGCGAGATGTCATTTCCTCTCCGGGTCAAGCTTGCTTCCAGAGGCTCTGCTCGCACACAGGGCGCCCCACCTATTGCCACAAACACACAGGGGGGGTGGAGAGCAAGCAGGGGACCTCTGGTGGACAGAAAATGAATTACATCCTGGGACGTCTTCCTGGAAAGATGATCGCACCTGTAGATTTGATGCATGCACTTGTTATCTGTTAATGTGACCTTACACTGTTTGTCTCCTGCAGATAAAGTACCATGAGGAATTTGACAAGAAGATGACTATGGGAGGAGCAGGAGAGGTCTCGCATCACCCGCCGAGCCACCCTGGCAAAGGTATTCCTTCTGACACACGTTTACTTTTACGTATCTTATAAGTTCATACAATTGTACTGATCACTCGGTACAGTTTTTCTTTAAGCCTCTTGTCTGTGCTCGGCTCCGTCCCTGCCTGCCAGCTGTGTGAGCTCACCCGGCTGGGTGTCACCACTCGGGGATCTTGGTTGTAACTTGTTCACCGCTCTCCTCCTCCTCTGTGTTCAATCCGTTCAGCTATAAATAGTTGCAGAAATCATGAAAGTATTTCTACTAATGTAGAAACATTGAAATGGTTAAATCCATGCACATGACTCAAGCCGATAGATTGTTTGCCGGAGCTCCAAATTTGCAACTTTCAAGTCATGAATGCGAACAATATTATGTCAGTAAAATGACTTGGAAGCATCAGGAGGTCAGTGGAAAAGTTACAGCTAAGTATGTATTTGTTTGTATTTCACATGCCCGATTTACACTTTACCACAAAACGGCTTTGTTCTTGTGTAACCAAGAGATCAAGAGCCGTTAGATGCACGTCTTGTCTTGCCATGTTTTTAAATTCCTCACTCGAAAAGTCAACGCAGACGTACAGACGGACGTTAACGGACCTGACATCAAGATGCATTTATTTTATATGGACTGAAATCTTAATCCTACTCTCCCAAAACAATGAGTCCCATTACAGCTCCCAGTAAGTGTCTCTGAGGGAAGAGAAGCATTTAAAATGAAAGTCCAGCTCATTCATCTTCCCTCCACTTTTCTGTCAGTTTTACCAGCAGCTCATCAGCCGCCTGCAGCCTCTCAGAACTACAACTTTGAGCCCCCTTCTGTACCAGTGCAGGCCCCCGCCGCCGGCCCGCCTCCCAGTGCAGGGGTAGGTCCTCCACCAATACATGAAGTATCACAGTTTTGTTTCCTAGCAGACCATAACCGCTGCAGCTGTCCTCAAGAGCTGAACTAAACTCCATGTTGTTGTCCACAGAAGCGGTACCGGGCAGTGTACGACTACTCTGCCGCCGATGAGGACGAGGTGTCCTTCGTGGACGGAGACGTGATCATAGACGTGCAGCAGATCGACGAGGGCTGGATGTACGGCCGCGTGGAGCGCACCGGCCAGCAGGGCATGCTGCCTTCCAACTACGTGGAGGCCATCTGAGCGAGAGGGAAAGAAAAAAGAGGGGGAGAGAAGAATGAGGAGGTAGAGAAAGGGAGGGAAAGAAGGAAAGGAAAAAGCCCAGTGCCATCTCATCTTAATGCCGCTTTCTCTTGATTTTTTTACTCTTGTTCCTTAATCTGTCCCGTGAGACCCTGAGTCCCCCCCCACCCCCGTCTGCATCCCTGTTCTACTCCCACTGCTCCACCACAGACACCCTTTACCTATCCGTCTGTCTGTCCTTCTCTGTCTGCCTGCCTGCCTCTTCGCCCGTCTGTCTGTGCCGATGTCCGTCTGTGCCGATGTCCGTCTCCGTTTGGATGTTCGTCATCCTCCTTTATCTTTTCCCGAACCTGGCTCCACTTTCAAAGCGCTGTCACGAGTGGGGGAAAAAAAATAAAAAAGTCTTAAAAGATAAACTCACAGTTCATCGCAGTATGTCGGGGGTCACGCCGTGTCCACAGCTCCATCGTAGCTACAGCGCTTAACAATCCTCGCTCATCATCAGGCAAAAATACAGGAAGAACACACACACACACACACACGGGGGTCAGTCGCCACAGCTGCAGACATCGTTCTGTGGAGAAAATTAGTTTGAAGCGTGGGTGGGTGTGGCATTTAGTTTTTTTTTTTTGTTTGTTTTCCTTTCTCTCATTTTGCAGCGTGATCTTGGCCAGACTGGACACACAGTGTAGAATCTCAGTCTATCTAGAACTAAGCTTGAATATTATTGACTTGTGTACATTCCTTTAACCTCTAACCGCGTTGCTGTCGCACCAATCAGCCAGTTATCAGTCTTAACAGAGAGGTTTTTTTAATATATTTATAGATCGACGCACACATCTCGCCTGCCGCGTGCTGGAGTAGTTCGTAGTTCGTGTTCAGCGCTGCGTCGTCGTGAAACTGGAATCGTAGCCTAACTGAAGAGCACCTTCTGCCGTGGCCTTTCTCGGGCGATCCAGGAGGGGATCAGGGAGAAGTAAGGGGACATTATCAGTCCATCTCTTGCTGCCACGCTGAATACATCGCCTCAGTTGGTGTGGATGTACAGTTTGTGCACCTTTTTATTCCCGTTTCTTGCGGCCTGAACGCCTTCAGTCCTGAGAGAATCACACAGTTCTGGTGATCACGGTTAATCTGTATTTTGGAGAAAGGAGATGGGAACAGGTCAAGTCCTTCCACCCTTTTGCTACAAAAATCACCAAGAAAACACATTCATAGAAGAGAAGGCCAAGCACAATTCTATATTGTGAACCTTTTTTCTTTTTTATGATTCATTCCACTGTTCTTGTGAGTGAACATTCCCGTCTTTATTTTCCATTTAATGTGAGAGAAGTTGTTGAATCCGTGGCTGTGGTAAATGTCTCATGATGTTCTTCCTTTTGCCTTTCTTGTTACTGTAAGATGCTTATTGTTAATAAAAAGAAAAGTCAGTGTATTAAATAAATAAACCAGCAACTCAGTTTTATGAACCAAGGCAGAAGAAGTGTTTGTCCAGACTTGTGCAGTCGCAGTATTTGATCAGTTGTGGGATTAAACGACCTGCAGCTTGACTGAGAAATGTTTCTGATCAGTGGATCTCTCTAAAGCTGTTAAATGTTCTGGAGCTTCTAAGAAAAGGGTTCATGTTGGAGAATGGCATTTAAAATACACACTTCTACTTCATTATCTTATGGTCTTTCTAATTTGGCCTGTCACCAGTTTGTCAGGGCAGAGCACTAATGCAAGCATGTTTGTTTGTTTTTTGTCAGGTGAATCCCAAAAATTGTCAACTATTTCTGGATGTTTTGACCAGCGACTCCGCCTAAATTTACCAGCATGTGGTCACTTAAGGTGAAGGTTGGTTCTTAAACACAAAACCAAGCATTTAGTTTGCTGGCGATCACACAGAAATGCAGTATTCTAGATACAGTATTTGTGTGTGGAGGACCTGTATATGTTTTCAAACATGACATTTGACCATTTCTCAGTGGTGTAAATAATCTCATTGACCCCTGACCAATCCCCCACCCCCTTTTTTTTTTTTTTTTTCTTGCCGCTTCATTGTCCTGTGACGCACTGTGACTGTCAGAAAATGAGGGATCGGGGTGGTGCGTTTTTTTCAAGGTGTGGAGGTGGGAATGTTCAGCTTTATTAAAAGAAACGAGGCTCTCACTATGTAGCTAGGTGACATTGTACAATTGTATATGTATCATAAAGGTGAGTTAGGGGAGATGTTTTTACAGGTCATGGTGCTCTGGGAAGTGGCTTGCCTTCAGAAGGAAGTGGTTCATTTTTTTTTTTTTTGTGAATGTGGCCGAGGGGAAGTAGCGTGATTTAAAAGTTGACTCATGGAAAAAGATCCAGTTTGGTGCGAGTTGGTGTTGAACTTGGATAAAGTGTGACAGTGCTGATCACTGAATCAGAAAACAACAGGTTGCCAAACAAAAACAACAACCCGCTGTGTGTATGCCTGTATTTTACATTAACTTCTGACAACAGGACGAGTTTAATTGCTCAACAGATGCTCGGTGGGGAAGCTGTTTTAGAGCTCACGGTTGTGTTTTCCCATCGGTTAAACTGAAGGGTTGATGGTTTGGCCAGAAGTGAAATCATTGTTGTTCCTGGCTTGTGATGATATTTGCTCTAATTTAATAATGAGGCTACTCACACAGGTAGCCTCTGTTACCGTGCGGATTACATCCGATTCAAACTTTCTTTTCTTCTCTACGGCATTTATTTTGACCGTTTGGTGTTCTGGATGAAATAAAAAAAAAAGTTTAAAAAGGGCAGTGTTGTGTAAGTGTGACTCAGGATGGATTTCTTAAGGCAAAGTCGAATTTGAGCGTGTGGTGATGTAAGTGTGTGAGGCTGGGGGGTGGGTGGGTGATCTGATGCCCTCAATCTCCCAGGCTGTGAGGCAGGGCCAGTTATTTGTCTGACCTGGATATTAGTCAGGAGTTAACCTCTTTGCGCCGCTCTTCTGCTCTGGCATCACTCATCTACTGAACTGTAACTTCATATCATAACCCCCCC